GTTACCTGAAGAATAGAGACTGTAAAATATGCCTTTAGCTTACAGAGACCCACTTAGAGCAGGAATTATGTCAAAATGATAAAGAAATATACAAATACTTTGCATAAGATAAAATAAACTTTTCATCTGGAATCTGCTCAATCCAGAATTCCAGTTTAACCAGTTTCAACTGGTTTAAATTTAAAAAAGTCTTTTTTAAGGAACATTTGGCTGTCTGAATTGATTAATCCAAAAAATAATCGACAGATTAATCGACTTGCAAAATAGTTGCTGCCCTACTTTGGTCAAACAATGGAGATTTTATACTGACAGGTGCTGATTTTAACGATCATTTTCTCTGATTTGAAGCTAATTCGGCAATTGGTTCTGGTTTCTTCTTCTTTATTTCTTCTGCAGAGGAGCTCCAGTTGAGCCTGGCCGTCTGGGACGAGGACTTCACCTCTGATCATCAGCAGGTGGAGGAAAAGCCTGATCTGGCCTCGGACTCCGAGTCAAACCAGAACGCCTCCAGTATCGGTGGGAGGAGTCAGACTGAGGGGTGTCCGGACCTGCAGGAGAGCAGCATCATCCAGGTCAAATTCCCGCCTCCTTATCTACGGAGCGGTACCAGTCCAACCGGGTTTATTGAGGCGGTCGTTAAAGTGGAAGAGGAAGATCCTCTGCCGAGCACCTCCGCCCAGCAGGAAGAGGCTGGGGAAGACTTTGCAGTTTCCTCTGAAGCCGACAGCGAAGAGGAGTGGAGGTCAAGCTCCCAGTCCAAAAGGCAAATTAGCACCAAGAAGAAGAAGACAAAGGCAAACAAGAGGGTTCCTCATCCTCCAGTCGCCCCCAAACTGAACCCCTCCAAAAAGAACAAGTCTCCCATCTGCTGCAAAATCTGTGGCAGAGCCTTCCTCCTCACCGTGTCTCTGGTGAACCATGTGCAAGTTCACTCCAAGGACATCTGCGGCGTGTGCGGGGAACGCTTCGATGGCGAGGAGAGGTTCGACGCTCACCTGAAAACACACGTCAAGGCGGAGAGCTGCAGCGTCTGCGGGAAGTGCTTCACCAGCTGCAGCGGTTTGGAGATCCACATGAGGATCCACACGGGGGAGAAGCCGTTCGTCTGCAGCGAGTGCGGGAAGCGCTTCACCACCCGGGCCAACATGGCCCGGCACGTCCGAACCCACACCGGCGAGAGGCCGTACACCTGCACCGTGTGCGGCAGAAGCTTCAACGACTACACCACCATGAAGCGCCACCTGTTCCTTCACTCTGCCAAGAACAGCCACCTCGGAGAGTCCTCGTGCGAAAACGGCGACGGGAAGAGTCCGTCCTTCAGAAAACCACGCGCTGTCTGCAAGGTGTGCGGCATGTCGTTCCACTCCGTGGTCTCCCTGCTGAACCACGGCAAACAGCATGAGACGGTGCTCTGCTATGTGTGCGGCGATCACCTCGGCTCCTTGGACAGCTTAGCGGCTCACCTGGACACTCACAAAAACGGGAAGGTGTGCGACGTGTGCGGGAAGTGTTTTGACAGCCAGGGACACCTGGAGATCCACATGCGGATCCACACTGGAGAGAAGCCATTTGTCTGCACCGAGTGCGGGAAATCCTTCACCACCCGGCCTCACCTGGTGCGGCATAAGAGAATCCATACCGGGGAGAGGCCCTACACCTGCAGCTTCTGCGGTAAAACCTTCAACGACTACACCACCCACAAGCGGCACCTGCTGATCCACATCAAGAAGTCCAGCGTGGAAGGCATCCCTGTGGGTCCAAGTGACCACAGTGAGACCAGTTCCAATAAGAAACGCCGGCAGGTGCCCTGCAAGGTTTGCGGGGTGACCTTCTGCTCCAAAATCTCTCTGGTGAATCATGCCAAAATCCATGCCACGGACCTCTGCGGCGTCTGTGGCAATCAGTTCGTGTCGAAGGAAAACCTCAAACTTCATCTGAAAACCCACATCAGCAAGAGGGTGTGCGACGTGTGCGGGAAGTGCTTCGACTCTCTGTTCCACCTGAAGGTGCATCAGAGGGTCCACACCGGGGAGAAGCCGTTCACCTGCAGCGAGTGCGGCAAGTCATTCAACTTCCGGCAGAACATGCTGCGCCACGCCAGGTGCCACACGGGGGAGAAGCCGTACGTGTGCACAGTGTGCGGCCGCGGCTTCAGCGACCGCAGCTTCCTCACGCAGCACCGGAACACGCACACGGGTGAGAAACGACACCGCTGCCAGGTCTGCGGGAACACCTTCAACCGGAAGACCTACGTCAGGCTCCACATGAAGAAGGTTCACACAGCAGAGAAATACCAGAAGAAGATGGAAGATTGAGCTGTTTGACTCCCAAAGATCCGTCTCAACTTCAGAACTGCGATGGAAACTTTCATCCATGTCAACTTCACCCTGTTTTGATGAATAACAGCGGACCTTAGAAACATTGATCGGGGTTTGGGTCATTATTTCGGGGGACTGAGGCGGACCTCCTGTCGTAGGATGGTCCGGTTCTATCTTAGGCTGGGCATACAGTGTACGATAGGAGATTCGGCCCCAAAAGGGCGGAAAGTCTTACAGTGTGTGCCCAGCTTTAAAGATGATAGAAGGTCCATAATCCATCGTAGGAACAGGTACGTTTAAGTGGTTAGAGCAGGCATACCCAAAGTCGGTCCTTGTGGGCCGCTGTCCTGCAGGTTTTTGACGGTTCCCTGCTCTAGCAAAGCTAATTAATTTAGCCGTTAATCAGCAATCAAAGAAAGCAGGCTGGCTAGAGCAGAGAAACCTCTAAAACCTGCAGGACCGACTTTGGACATGCCTGGGTTAGAGCATCATAAAGGCCTCTTCCAGCATTATGGACCATCGTAGAGAAAAATCAAGCTGCTGACGATGATCAGTGATTAAAGTGCTTTAAACTTGCTGCGGCTCAAAGCTAAATACTTTTATTTCCTCTTTGTTTTATTGTTCTTTACTGTTAGAAAATTTTAACTGTGACATTTGATCAGAGCAAAAAAGGTTTTTATTCCAAAATACGAATTCTTCGCTATTTAGCTCCTCCGATGTGATCCATGCTGCCTTTTTTACAGCTGCTCAGCGCTGTGTAAAAAATAAATAAAAAATAAATATGTGGCTCCTTGTTAGCTGAATGTTCCTGCTGATGGTGTGAAAAAAAATAAAGGAACCAAAATAAAATGAGTTCAATTGAAGTCAGTTTATTTCTGTAGCACCAATTCACAACACGTCCTCACAAGGAACTTTCTGGAACGAATCAACCAGATCAGATTGTTAGTTTAGTTCAGTTTTATAAGAAAAACCAGTTGATTGCATCGACTCATTGACTCTTCAGCAATNTTGTTCTCAAATTACGACTTTAATCTCAGAATTAGGACTTTAATCTCAGAATTAGGACTTTATCTCAGAATTAGGACTCTAATCTCAGAATTAGGACTTTAATCTCAGAATTAGGACTTTTTTTCTCAAAATTAGGACTTTAATTTCAGAATTAGGACTTTAATCTCAGAATTAGGACTTTGTTCTCAGAATTACGACTTTAATCTCAGAATTAGGACTTTAATCGCAGAATTACGACTTTGATCTCAGAATTCTGACTTTTTTCTCAGAATTCTGACTTTAATCTCAGAATTAGGACTTTATCTCAGAATTAGGACTTTTTTTCTCAAAATTCTGACTTTAATCTCAGAATTCAGATTTTTTTCCCCATACTAAACTGAAACATTTAAAAATCAGTGAACCTTTTTATTTTTTTATACTCCAGTTAACGATTAATCGATTACTAAATTAGTTACAATTATGTCAACTATTGATTTTCACAATGAATCTTATTGTTTTAGCCATAATTCCAACACGTGTTGTAAGTTGTTAAAATAACGGCAGGGACACGCAGACAGCACTGCTGGGTTAGACGCGCTTCTACAGAATTCCGCTTCAGCGGTTCTGATGGCAGATACCCTCCACACCGTTCAGATTCTTAATTGGACCAAAAAGAAAAAGTAAAACTGATCTCAGCTTTGTGTGGAATAATGATTGACATCAGATCAAACCCGGTAAGTCTCATTCAGACTCAGTCGTCTAAAGATCTGGGCTGAATCATCCTGTCTGCATCTTTCTAGATCTGCTGAATGTTTGGTAAGGAGTTGAAATGATTAATCGTTCATTATTTCAATGAACGATTTAATATTTAATAATCGATTAATCGTTACCTGAAGAATAGAGACTGTAAAATATGCCTTTAGCTTACAGAGACCCACTTAGAGCAGGAATTATGTCAAAATGATAAAGAAATATACAAATACTTTGCATAAGATAAAATAAACTTTTCATCTGGAATCTGCTCAATCCAGAATTCCAGTTTAACCAGTTTCAACTGGTTTAAATTTAAAAAAGTCTTTTTTAAGGAACATTTGGCTGTCTGAATTGATTAATCCAAAAAATAATCGACAGATTAATCGACTTGCAAAATAGTTGCTGCCCTACTTTGGTCAAACAATGGAGATTTTATACTGACAGGTGCTGATTTTAACGATCATTTTCTCTGATTTGAAGCTAATTCGGCAATTGGTTCTGGTTTCTTCTTCTTTATTTCTTCTGCAGAGGAGCTCCAGTTGAGCCTGGCCGTCTGGGACGAGGACTTCACCTCTGATCATCAGCAGGTGGAGGAAAAGCCTGATCTGGCCTCGGACTCCGAGTCAAACCAGAACGCCTCCAGTATCGGTGGGAGGAGTCAGACTGAGGGGTGTCCGGACCTGCAGGAGAGCAGCATCATCCAGGTCAAATTCCCGCCTCCTTATCTACGGAGCGGTACCAGTCCAACCGGGTTTATTGAGGCGGTCGTTAAAGTGGAAGAGGAAGATCCTCTGCCGAGCACCTCCGCCCAGCAGGAAGAGGCTGGGGAAGACTTTGCAGTTTCCTCTGAAGCCGACAGCGAAGAGGAGTGGAGGTCAAGCTCCCAGTCCAAAAGGCAAATTAGCACCAAGAAGAAGAAGACAAAGGCAAACAAGAGGGTTCCTCATCCTCCAGTCGCCCCCAAACTGAACCCCTCCAAAAAGAACAAGTCTCCCATCTGCTGCAAAATCTGTGGCAGAGCCTTCCTCCTCACCGTGTCTCTGGTGAACCATGTGCAAGTTCACTCCAAGGACATCTGCGGCGTGTGCGGGGAACGCTTCGATGGCGAGGAGAGGTTCGACGCTCACCTGAAAACACACGTCAAGGCGGAGAGCTGCAGCGTCTGCGGGAAGTGCTTCACCAGCTGCAGCGGTTTGGAGATCCACATGAGGATCCACACGGGGGAGAAGCCGTTCGTCTGCAGCGAGTGCGGGAAGCGCTTCACCACCCGGGCCAACATGGCCCGGCACGTCCGAACCCACACCGGCGAGAGGCCGTACACCTGCACCGTGTGCGGCAGAAGCTTCAACGACTACACCACCATGAAGCGCCACCTGTTCCTTCACTCTGCCAAGAACAGCCACCTCGGAGAGTCCTCGTGCGAAAACGGCGACGGGAAGAGTCCGTCCTTCAGAAAACCACGCGCTGTCTGCAAGGTGTGCGGCATGTCGTTCCACTCCGTGGTCTCCCTGCTGAACCACGGCAAACAGCATGAGACGGTGCTCTGCTATGTGTGCGGCGATCACCTCGGCTCCTTGGACAGCTTAGCGGCTCACCTGGACACTCACAAAAACGGGAAGGTGTGCGACGTGTGCGGGAAGTGTTTTGACAGCCAGGGACACCTGGAGATCCACATGCGGATCCACACTGGAGAGAAGCCATTTGTCTGCACCGAGTGCGGGAAATCCTTCACCACCCGGCCTCACCTGGTGCGGCATAAGAGAATCCATACCGGGGAGAGGCCCTACACCTGCAGCTTCTGCGGTAAAACCTTCAACGACTACACCACCCACAAGCGGCACCTGCTGATCCACATCAAGAAGTCCAGCGTGGAAGGCATCCCTGTGGGTCCAAGTGACCACAGTGAGACCAGTTCCAATAAGAAACGCCGGCAGGTGCCCTGCAAGGTTTGCGGGGTGACCTTCTGCTCCAAAATCTCTCTGGTGAATCATGCCAAAATCCA